CTATCTATCTATCTATCTATCTATCTATCTATCTATCTATCTATCTATCTATCTACCTATCTGTGTTTCTTTCTGTCTCCCTTTTTTTTCTTTCCTCCCGTCTCTCTTTTTATCTGCCTATGTTAATTCTTAGTTTCTTTTTTTTGTCCATTACGTTTTCTTTCTTTCTTTCAGCCTGTTCGTCTTCCTGTAGTTTGTATCTATGAATCTAAGGCTAATCTCTATACATCTTTTTGTATTTACAATCTCGCTATTTTTCTAGTATTCATTTCTTCAATACATTCACGGACTTTTCAAATCAAATTCAGTATTGTTGGTTTACCATTTTCTCTCGTTTCAGTTATTTAGTTACTTTCATTATGATTTGTACACACAACTGCCAATAAATAACTTGCCGTTAAAGAGTTTGTCTGACTATTCCTAGTGTGAGTGCTTTTTCTGAGTCCCGGGCCAAACCCTCTCTAGCATAAAAGAAACCGAAATCTCAAAGCTCTAGGGCACTGAACCGCCAACTTTCAGTACTTTCACCGCGATGACCTGCCAGCGTCTGTAAATCGCCACTCCCAAAGTATCCGGAATGAAAAAAATGAGAGTCAATGGGTACAGTAAGTTTTTAGGAAACATATATTTTTCAAACCCCCCACCCCTCCCCTTAAAACAAACACATACTCACACACACACACACACACACACACACACACACACACACACACACACACACACACACACACACACACATAAACACTCTAAAGAAAAAATAGGAGAAAAAAAGAGAAGAAAATAAAAAGCTAAGCAAAATGACAATACTCAATAAAAAAAAAAGAATAACAATTCTAAAGTACCCATTATGATACTCCAGTAGCCGTTTTCTCTTCTCAAGCTGTCACGAAGTTCGCTGGTGGAGCGTGGTCGATGCGTGTTTCGGCTTTTTGGAGGATGATGCGTAAATTAATGTTTGAACCCCCGTCGACTCAATTGGGATCGTGGAGTCTGGTCTAGAGGTCTCTAGCAGTCTCCCCACCCAGATCCTGCTGAGAGCTATCATCGTTTACGTTTCGTCTTTGGAGATTGCGGATCTCTGATCATCGCAGTCCGATGCGCATTGAAGCAAGATCTCGTATGTGCGTGAACAGGAAATTTGAGTAAAATGGAGACCCCCCCTCCCCCATAAAAAACGTAATTACTTTCTTATTATCTATGTCATGTGTGACCAGTTCACCTGGCAGTTTTGCGCCCCACCCCCCACCC